TTTGTATCACCCAGTTTGTACCATCCTTTGTAGGATTGGTCACTGCATCTGTCTGGGCCTCAGCTTTGGCCTGGAGGACAACCTTCCACTTTTCCCTCCACATTTTGGCCTGCGGGCCTTCTTCCTTGATAAAGAAGGCCCCACCCCACTCAGAGTTCTCATTAGCTGGAATGCATCTTTATTGGAAGCACCTGCCTTGGGCCTCAGGAGTGCCTCCACCCCCACCCCGGCTCTGGTCCCATAGAACTGGCCCACTGTTAGCTCCTGTACTAGGACCCTCCACTGTAGCCCCGCACCCAACTACCTCTAAGTTCACTCCACTTCTCTACTGGCTGGGGCAGCTAGGGAGGGAATGAGAAGGGAGGGATGGGAGGAAGGGCCCACCTCCCCACCTCTCCCACCACATACCCTGTTAGGAGCCTCTGGCTCTGCTTAGCTGGGGCTGGCCAGGCCGGTTTACCCCAGAGAGCTGGGTTGTAAAGAATTTGAAAATGCACCAGGTCTGGGCGTGACCTTGACAAGGAGAGATGGGGGCTGGGAGGACACTTCTGGATCTTTTTGGACACCTTGCCCAGCTCTCTACCCCAACACTGAAATTCAGCTGGCCTATTGTAGCAGGCATATGTATAAGCCACATACTGAAACCTACAAGGGCCCCCTCCAGCATCGAAGCAGGCACGCGCACGCACGCGCACACACACACACCCACACACACCAGGCACAAACATTCCGGCATGCAGCTGTGTGAAATCACTTGATTATGTATCATGTGTGCTCTCATGAGGCCAGAACGTACACCCACACTCATTCTCATCCTGGGCATACAAGCAGGCACACATTTCCTCACTCTAATCACACACACACTCAAGCTGTCACACACATATTCCCATATAGCTTCACCCAAAGTGAGGACAGCCCCAGCCCCAAGCACATCCCTTTATGCACCCAGAATGCATACACAGCACACACCCACAGATATGACCATACAGTGTCCCCTACCTCCCCACTCTAAGAACACACGCATACTCTAAGTTGTACACGCAGCATCCCAAGTGTACATCAACACACTTCTCACGTGGAATGTTCCTGATGGACACACGCACACAGGGGAAGTTAGGAGCTCTCTTTCCCTGGCTTTGGCAGAAAGCAGAACTCGACTTGTGGTCTTAGTGCAGGAACAAGGTAAGTTCCTACTCCTCGGTTTCTCTTCCAGGGAAAAGAGCCGACCTCTATCCCTCCACCTGTATGGCTAGCCCCATCGAATGATTCCCACTGTTTTGGGAGATCCAGAATCTCCTCCCCACACTGTGTCCCCTCCCCTCCCCCCAGTTTCAAGTCTCAAGTTCTTTCTTTTAGCCAAGAAGCATTACTGGGGGCCTGGAAGCCCACTCCAACTTTCCACCTCAACCTCACTGGGCTGGGAAGGTCGTACTCACTGATACGGGGGTGGGTGATGTAGTTGCGGGTGACCGCCTGCATGTGCTCTCGGGCGGTGCCTAGGTCACAGCCATTGTCTGGGAGCCCCCCAGACCTGCTGTCTACCTTTGTGGCCATGACAGAGTGCTGGGGCTGGCAGCAGAGTGCCTGAGCCTGCTGGTGGCAACTCTGAAACTCCAGGCCCAGCTGGAGCTGGAGAGAGGTGCCTGGGCCGCCTCAGGCCAGTCCTCTCCTCTCCTCCCACCCTCCTCTTTCCCCTCCCAATGTTGACTATAAACAGGAATGCTTGTGTGCTGGCTCTGGGCTGTTGACTACATGCTCAACTTTGTGGTGCTGGGGCCCTGTGTCTCCACCATCAAAGGTGGGTCCTCTTAAGCCTTTTGGTCTCATGTTGAGATCTCCCTGAGAGCCAGAGCTGGTCTCTCTCCATTTGGTCTTAGGTTCCATCTCATCTTACATGTCACCAGCAGTAAGCCTGCCCTGACATCATAATACAAGAGAAGGTCCATGTAGATCTTAATATTTTGGAGTGAAAAATCAAGCTATCAGAATGTAGTCATCAATGTCACTGAATGAGATGTGTAGAAATTGTTGAATTGGCAAATTTGTGTGCGTATATTTTACCACATACACAAATGTAGCTAGATCTACATTTGGGGCTGTGTTCCACACAAGACGGCTGAGGGATCTATGCTCTGAGGTGCCCTAGACCACTGGGAACAGGGAGATATGGAAGCGAAGGCTACATCTCTCTACATCTGTCCTGGCTGTTCTTCTGTTCCCAGCCTGCACTGAACTTGAACTCAGTTGCTTCTAGAAGTTCAGGTTTTCTAACAGTCCCATGGAGTCCTGGCATGGCGCTGTGGGCTAATGTGTCAGACTGTAAAGTCATTTGAACTGCAAGGTGGGTGGTTCAAGCTCATGAGGTGCTCCTTGGAAACCCTATACAGGGTCGATATGGGTTGGAATTAACTTGACGGCACTTAACAACAACAGTCCCATATCCCCACCACAGCTCTCTCTGGTCCCTCCCATGCCCAGTTATGACAGTCTTTGTTTTGCTGAGGTCCTTTCCTTACTGTCTCCCCATCTGTCCACATCTTGTATATATATATTTATTATTGTTGTTGTTAAGTGCCGTCGAGTGAGTTCTGACCCATAGCAATCCTGTATAAGGTTTCTGAGGAGCAGCTGATGAACTTGAACTACAGGCCTCCTGGTTCAAGCAGACTTTGCAGTTCAGCTCATTAACCAACAGTGCCACACTAGGACTCTCTCTCTACACACATACATATATTGAGGACCATATATATATTGTTGTTAAGAGCTGTTGAATCATTTCTGACCCATAGTGACCCTGAAAGGGTTTCCAAGGAGTGGCTGGTGAGCTTGAACTACCAACCTTGTGGTTCAAACAACTTTGCAGTCCAGCGCATTAGCCCGCAGTGCCACACGAGGATTCCATATCTATCTATATCTATATTGAGGATACCATATATATATGTATATGTGTATGTGTGTGTATGTATATATATATACACACCAGGACTATATATATATGTGTGTGTGTATGTAAAGATTTACAGCATCGGAAACCTTGTACAGGGTCGCTATGAATCGGAACCGACTCCACAGCACACAACAACAAGAACAATGTATGTATATATGTGTGTATGTGTGTGTATATATATATATATATATATATATATACACACACACACTCACATACATATATTGAGGATATATAGATATAGATATATAGATATACACACACACACACAGATGTAGCTCTGTGGGTTAATGCACTAGACTGCAAAGTCAGTTTGAACCACAAGGTCAGTGGTTCAAGCTCATCAGCTGCTCCTCGGAAGCCCTATACAGGGTCGCTATGGATCAGAACTGATTCGACAGCACTTAACAACAACAACAAACCACAAAGTATGTATATGAAGTCCTGGTGTAGCTCTGTAGGATAAGCACTGGACTGTTAACCACAAGGTCAGCCGTTCAAACCCACCAGTTCTCCTTGGAAACTGTAGCATACAGGGTTGCTATGAGTTTTATATATATATCCAAAACTCCAGTGCCATCGAGCCAATTCTGACTCACAGTGACCCTGTATAGGGTTTCCAAGGAGAGGTTGGTGAGTTTGAACCACTGACCCTGTGGTTCAAACTGACTTTGTAGTCCAGCACATTAGCCCACAGCCACACCAGGACTCCTATATCAACAGCTCCTTGGAAACCCTATAAAGGGTCACTGTGGGTGAAACCGACTTGACAGCACACACACACACACACATATCTATCTATATATATCTATATATATATATCTTTATTTCTCCGGAGCCAGCTTCTGTTCTCCTTCCTACAGGAAGCTCACCCTAAATAATACTCTAGCCCATATGCATATGATCATTTGCCCCTTTCCTGGTTTCCACATGCTTGCAGTGACCCCCTCACCTTGAATTTGCCACACCTCTGATCTAGTTCCTAAGCCACGACCTTTAGGAAGTCATGGAAGGGCTTTCATCACTGCCAGTCAGTTGTGGTCACAAGAGTTGGGCCTGTGATAATGTTGCAAGCTCCCTGAGCCAGGGCTAGTCTCTCTCCATCTGATCTCAGGACACTGTTCATCTTACGCTTTACCACGTTAGGCTGCCCCTGGTATCAGCACACCAGGGGCCAAAAGTATAAATCGGGTCCATATATGTCTAAATATTTGGAGTTAAAAATCATGCTACCAGAATGTAGTCTTCAGCGTCACTGAATTTTATGTGCAGAAATCTTGGAGTTGGCAAATATTTTGTAGTGTATATTTTCACTACCCACAGAAATCCAGCTATGTCCACATTCAGGCCTGTGTTCTACCCAGAAGCTTGACACTGAAGTAAAATGATAAATAGAACTGTCTTACTTGAGAAAAAAACATTTCTTTACATGTGTTTCACTTTCAATGTTTGTGACAGATGGACCCCGGAAAGCACATGTGTGGAGTGTTGCCTGGGTTTACCTTTGATGTTGTCTGTTCTCTCTTTGGAGTCTGGTCTTACCTTTCATTATCACCCTCTAGAAGGACTTAGCATTTCCCCCTTCCAGTAATTTTTATCTTTGAAAGAGGAGCTTACAAAGGTCTAATGGTTAACCAAAGAAAACATCAATGTCAATATGGCGGGTCTTGGGAATTCTGGATGGGCTGTCACTGGAGTGAGGTCAGGTGCCCATCAACCTGCACATGTGGGCCTGGTCCCCTCTCACTCAAGCTCCCCTGACTCAGCCCATTTTGCTCCTCAGTGAGGAGAAGTACGCAGGGGGTTGACAGTGAGTGTGGTAAGGACGATTTCCTTTCTTGTCATTGGTTTTTCCTTTTATTTCAGTGACACACACACATTACACTCTCACACACAAGCTGCAGGACCAAGGCCATTTGCTTGAGAGTCTCTGAGCTGGAGGGAGTGTGGAGAGGGCTGCTCTAGACCAGCTTGTGCAGTTTGAGACACCTGGAGGATGGGAGGCTGGGTTGGTGCTGTGCTTGGGGACTTGGTGTCACAAGTGGTGCCAGCCTTAAGTGTGAGCTTTCTTGTTGCTGGGGCTGCCCACTTTCCATTCTAGATGGCTGTAGGGCTCAAAGGTCAAGGAGCCCAGTTTGTATTCAGCAGGCAGGTCCAGGAGGGGAGCCATGGAAAAACAGAAGGGCGGTGGTGGACACAGCAGTGTGGGAGATCTTGAGGTTGTGGTCAGCAGGTTGAGATGTGGGGAGGAGTTCCTGGGGTCACCCATGTTTGTGCCCCTATGTCCAGCAGGCAGGCCTGGCAAGCTAGGGGTCAGTGCCAGGAGGCCTGGGGCTCTGGGCATGGAGAGCAGCCGGCTCTGCTCCAGCAGCTGCATGATGTTGGAGGTGGCGAAGGCCTCAGAGGTTGAGGAGGATGTCCACTTCTTAAGGTGTCTGCTCTGGTCCTTCTTTTGCTTGGTGCGGCGGTTCTGGAACCAGACCTTCACCTTGGGGGCAAAGGGTGGGCAAGGGGTTGTCAGGAGGATGGGAGAGGGGCCAGGCAGGAGAAAGAAGCAGGGAAGCAAAGTGAAAGAGGCCAGAGCAGAGCGGAAGGAGGGGCTCATGGAAGAGACGGGAGAGGAAGGGCAGGGGTGAGTGCAGAGTTGGTGAGCGGGAGAGTGGCAGTGGTAGTCAGGGTTGAGGGAGAGGGGAAGAAGAGTGATAGATTGTCATTAAGTTCCTCCCACAATCAACTTGCTCAGTGTGAACTGATCAGGGACCCTCAAATTGTGGACCCCTGCTAAGCTAGCTCTAGTTTGGGATGGAGGAATGGATTGGCAGGCAGATGGTGGAGGTTCCACTTTGGCTTATATACTCTTAGCCAAGTTCATTGCTCAGCCACCATTATATGGTGTAATTCCCACCTCTGCCTCAGGCCCAGGCCTCTGAACTGAGTTCCAGGTCACATATCCAACTGCCTATAAGACATCTCCCCAAGAATGTCTCAAAAACATGGGAAACGACACACACACATCAGCTCAGATCTCCTCCCCCAGGCAGGAGCTTCTTCCAGGTGCTTTCTTTCATCCATACAAGCAGAAACCTGGGGGACCCCTGGAGCCTCCCTACCCCTCCAGCCTCCTGCACATTATCATTTCCCAGTGCATCCCCTGCTCTCCCACTTGGACTACCATAACTGTCTCTACAGCAGTGGCTCTGAAGCCTCACTATCCATCCAGGACGACCACCTGAGGAGTTTAAACTTCTAACTCACTCCTAATCCTGGCCAGTCAATTTAGAATGGGGGTGGGTGGACTCAGAGACTAGTGGTTTTAGAAGTTCACCTGATGGTTCCGAGGAGAGAGAACCACTGCTCAAAGCATTTCTCTGCTGCAGGTCCAAACAATACCATTCACAGGGCCCAATGCAAGAGGAAACATAGGCTCTTCTGGTTCCCAGCTGTAATGGTTAGGGTTCTGTGTCAACTTGATTAGGCCAGGATTTCCAGGGGGTTAGCAGGAAATGTGTTTATTCCCATGGTGATGAAACCTAATATAGGCATAGTTATCTCTAGGATGAGTGGACATGATCAGCCAATCAAATAAAGGGATGCTTTCTTGGGGGTGTGGCCTGCTCCCAATAGAATGGACATGGATTCTTTCTCTTCTGCTGGGAACCTGGGACACTGCAATTGTAAGCCATATCCTTGACAATAAATTTCTCTCTCCTACATATATACATATATATGCTTCAATGGTTTTGCTTCTTTAGAAAACCTTGCCTAAACACCAGCCTACCATGGCTCTTGCCACACTGAAGACCTCACTTGCATTGATGGACAGCCCAGTCTGCATGTTCAAGCTCTGTTATCATTCTTCATACAACCCCCCTCCTTCCCCTTGGGCCTAGGGATCTGCATAAAAGTGGTGTGGTCTTCCATTGGGAAGAACAAGCAGGACTCTGGGTCACTGAGCAGGGAATTCTGGGACTTGGGTACCTGGTGCATTGTTCAGAAGGTGGGGCAAAGGCTCCTGGTGGATATGACCTCTTGACCCTGAAGAGTCCTCCCTCCATGGGTAGAGGCATGCCCAAAGTAGGGCCAGGGTAGGAGCTGGTTGCTAGTCTGAGGACAGGACCATCTCTACCCACACCCCCTGGCCTGCAGAGTAAGCTCTCACTGACCTCATGAGACTTTGCCATCTCTCTGTTTGAAGTTTTCAGCAGCCTCATCCTGCCCCGTCACTTATGAAGACCAAGCTTCTTAACATGATACTAAGTGTAACATGATGTGGCAGGGTGTTGAGGGGACTCCCAACGGCCACACCCTCAAAACTGGAGACAAAGAGGTTCCAAGTACTCCACTTTCTAAAGTAGGTCACCAAGAACAAAGCAGAGACCCTTCTCAGGGCCTGTGAGAAGGGAAGCAGCACTGCTAGGACCAACTCTGGTCCTGGTCCCCAGGAGAAAGGAAGGCCAGGACAGGGAGCTTGCTGCTCAACCCTGTATAAGTGCAGTGTTGAAGGTGAAGGGAGGCTCCTCCCCTCTCTGAGGGAGTGCTTCCCCCACAGAAGGCAAATAGGGGTCCTGAAAGAATCACATCTAGGAATTCTGAAAGTGCCGCCAAGGAGAGCCCGCCAGTCACTCTCTGGTGGAAAAACTTGTCAAGCCACACATCTGCTCCTGTCACTGGTACCACTATTGGAACACACAGACCTGTGTCCCCAGGACACGAGGCTGGCCCTACTTCTCGCCTGGAGGCAGCTGTAGAGCTGAGGGTGCCAGCAGGAACATGGAGGGTATGGAAGAAAGTCCATACAGGCTTCCTTGCTTCCTTCTAAGGACATGAGAGTTCTCAACGCCAATGGCTCCTACACATGACAAGGTGTGAGGAGGAGACAGGAGCTGGAGGGTTGCTTGGGTGAGGATCATCAGCAGAACTATCCTGTCTGGGGTGACACAGAACAGCGCTCCTAGAAACCATGCCTCCAGGAAAGGCCTCTAGGAGATCCAGGCTTAGCCTCTCCTCAGAAGGGAACCTGTTATTTAAAAAGATCTCTGCTTCCCTAATGTCACCACCCTTCCCCTACCCTGGAGGTGGTGGGGAGCAGATGACTCAAGTAGATCACACTGCCCTCTGGAGACTACAATGGGAAGTGCTAAAGAGTACATCTGGTCCTTGCCCTCAGAACTCCCCCAACTTCACCAGAAGGTCAGGAAAAAAGATAGGATTTAAAGCACATGTGAGTTTGGAGTTTTCCACTGGACTAGATTGAGTGTGTCAATAACAAAAAGTGTCCAGAAAATTCTGGGATCTGCTTGAGATTTATTGATGGATGGGTGGATTGATTGATATATTCATTCAACAAATGTGTATTGAATGCCTACTGTGTGCAAGGTACCACTCTAGGCTAAGAGGATCAGCAGTGAGCAAAGCAGAGCAAATCCTTGCTGTATGAAGTGTGCAGTGCAGTGGGGAGACAGATAATAAACAACAAATTAAAGCAAATGAGTATGTCAGGTGGCAATATGTGCTTTGAACAGTATTTCCAATATATTTGTGGTTGTTGTTGTGAAGTGCCGTCAAGTCAATTCTGACCCATAGTGACCCTGTATAGGGTTTCCAAGGAGCAGCTGGTGAGCTTGAACCGCTGACCTTGTGGATCAAACCAACTTTGCAGTGCAGCACATTAACCCACAGCGCCACATCAGGACTCCATATTTGTGGTAACAGACCACTTCTTAAAAATTTTCAATATGTTATAAAGTACAATTAAAATGAATTGATACATTTAAAAATACTTTCCACTTCTGTCCCTAATTTGTTCTGGTAACAGTTTGTGGGCTGGCACTTTAAGGGCACTGCTGTTGAGAAACTTGGCAGGGCAAGGAGGAGGAGCAGGGGATGGTGACATTTTATTAATGGTGACATCTGGTCAGTAAAGGTGGGAAGGGAAGATTTGAAAACACTTATTTTTGAAAAGAAGAAAACACTTGTTTCCCTTGGAATTCAATCACTCATTGATGCCATCTCACTAGATCCTTGGGGACCCTGGCCCTGCATGTGGCAGCATTCCTTTCCCTTGCTTGTTGGCTCCTGGTTTCTTCACCTGGCTAACACTTACTCATCCTTAGGACCTCAGGTCAGGCCTCACCTCCAGGAACCCCTCTACAATGAGGAAAAGACTACCTAAACCACTGTGGGGATTCATTTTAAAAATCCAGGTCAAGGAATTAGCATAATGTCTTTGTTATTGTTGTTGTTAGATGGCACTGAGTCGGTGCCAACTCACAGTGGTAAGTACAACAGAATGAAACACTGCCTGGCTCTGCGCCAACTTCACAATCATTGCTATACTTGAGTCTGTTGCTGTTGCCACTGAGCCAATCCATCTCATTGGGGGTCTTTCTTGCTGATCCCCCACTTTATCAAGCATGATGTCCTTCTCCAGGGACTGGGTCTCTCCTGATAACATGTCTGAAGTATAAGAGATGAAGTCTGGCCATCCTGGCTTCTAAGGAGCATTCTGGTTGTACTTCTTCCAACACAGATCTATTTGTTCTTTTGGCAGTCCAGGGTACTTTTAATGTTCTCCTCAACACCATAGCCCAAATGCATCAATTCTTCTACAGTCTTCCTTATTCACTGTCTAACTTTCACATATTTATGAGGTTATTGAAAATACCATGGCTTGGGTCAGGTGCACCTTAGTCCTCAAACTGGCATCTTTGCTCTTGAACACTTTAAAGAGGTCTTGTGCAGCAGATTTGTCTAATGCAATACATCACTTGATTTCTTGCTTGCTGCTTCCATGAGCGTTGATGGTTGATTCGAGCAAAATTAAGTCTTTAACAACTTCAATATTTTCTCCATTTATGTTGATGTTTACTGGTTGAGTGACGAGGATTTTTATTTTTACATTGAGGTGCAATTGATACCGGAGGCTGTGGTCTTTGATCTTCATCAGTAAGTTTTTAAATCCTCTTCACTTTCGGAAAGCAAGGTTGTATCATCTGCATATCTCAGGTTGTTAATGAGTCTTCCTCCAATCTGGATGCATTTTTCTTCATATAACCCAGGTTCTTGGATTATATGTCAGCATGAAGATTGAAAAAGTATGGTGAAAGAATATAACCCTGGCGCACACCTTTCCTAATTTTAAACCATTAGGCGTTCTGGTGTGGCGCTGTGGGTTAATGCGCCAGACTGCAAAGCCATTTGAACTGCAAAGTCGGCGGTTCAAGCTCACCAGCTGTTCCTTGGAAACTCTATACAGGGTCACTATGGGTTGGAACTGACTCGATGGCACTTAACAACAACAACAACAACAACGAGGTATTCCCCAGTTCTGTTTGAAAAACTGCCTCTTGGTCTATGTACAGTTTTTTCATGAGCACAATTAAGTGTTCCAGAATACTCATTCTCCACAATGTTGTCCATAGTTTGGCATCAAGCCTAGACTTTAAATAATAACTAAATGTGAGTTCCTATTTATTGTTTATTTATCAC